TAGTTGAAGATTAATTAGGATAGAAAGTGAATTAGATACATTTTAGACTTACCAAAATAGGATAGATAATGGAATTATTTTCTCTGAATTTGTCAAATACAAATGGACTAGACATTGTTTAGGTATTTATTACTTGTATATATTGTATATAGTTATTGTACTTTTGTAGATAGTTTTTCTTATGTTAGTTATAAGCTTTTTCCTTTTTCCTTTTTATTAAAATAGAAAAGGGGAAATATGGTGATACTTTATTTTGTACTAAAATGTTATTTGTATGTTAATAAATAAAGTTGCCCGGGGATCAGAGCTATTATCAAGCCACAGGAAAGCTGGGCAGTGGTGGTGTACGCCTTTAATCCCAGCACTTGGTAGGCAGAGCTAGGTAGATCTCTGTGTGTTCAGGGATACAGCCAGCATTAGAGACACACACCTTTAATCTCAATACCAACCATAGAAGACCTGGAGGTCTGTACAGACAGGCAGTGATGAGGCGGTCATGTGGTTGGGTTTACAACCAATGAGAAGGCAGAACTGAAAGTCTTTATAAAGACTTTAACACAGGAAGTAGCTCTCTTTCGGAGAGGTAGGACCACCACAGGAGGAAGGGTAAGGTTTTAGCTCTCAACTCTGACCTCTTGGCTTTCTTCTTTGCATTGGTTCTGTGTTTCTTATTTAATAAGACAGTTGGTAACATCTACACAATATAAAACATGAAGTTGTCCTCTGAAGGCCATGCCCACACATATACACAATACAAAACATGAAGTTGTCCTCTGAAGGCCATGCCCACACATACACACAATACAGGACAACAATATGAAGTTGTCCTGTGAAGGCCATGCCCACACATACACACAATACAAAACATGAAGTTGTCCTCTGAAGGCCATGCCCACACATACATGCAATACAAAATAAAACATCAACAGATAAAATAAAAGAAATGACCTATTCTAAGGTGCTTGGTTCTAGCAGCCCAATACACTAAGGTCCTAAAGGGAAACAAACACTGCTTACTAAGCTACTACTTCTAGCTTTTCTACTTGTTTGGATCACAGGTTTGCCAGAATACACATTAGTGATGCTGATTTGAAATTTTCTGATTATGTACAAATGGAAGAGGTTTCAATACAATTAAAATATTTTTCTCTTCAAAAAAAAAAAACAAAAAACTACCATTGACTTAGAGGTAGAGGCAGGGAGATGTGATACTCTATCTCAAAATAAAAACAAACAAGATGTATTAAATTTTTGGATATCTTAATTTGGACAATACCAATAGAACATGACTTTGCTGGATCATCATTTAAAATGAGAAGTACATTCTAACAGCTATGTGCATAGGTGCCTTTGCCTCTTCCTGCCTACACCTGTTCCACGGTTAGACAGGTTATCTGCCTAGGCGTGTGGCTTGTGTGTAAAGGCAGGAAAAGTTCAACTTCAAAACCAAATATTTGCAGGGCAGTGGTGGTGCATACCTTTAATCCTAGCGCTTAAGAGGCAGAGTGGATCTCTGAGTTCAAGGCCAGCCTGGTCTACCAAGCGATTTCCAGAATGGCCAGGGCTAGAACTCAGAGAACCCCTGTACGGAAAACCAACAACAACAACTATTTTCCTTGTTTAATTCTTGTATCTCATTTATCCACATGCTGCCCCCCTCCTCACAGAGGAGTCAAAATTCAAGAGTAACCGGCCTTTAAAGCATTGACAGTAATACCAAGCAGTCAGAACTGAAGAGGGGCAGTGCTGACTGAGGGCAGAGCAAAGCATGATTTAAAGGCACACTGACACTCACTGAGGACACTAGGTGCTCTATAAATGCTTGCCCTAGTGCTGCTCAACAAGATTCATCCTTGCCTCTAACATAAGAAGCTTCATGAGCAATCACAAGCAGTTTATTATTTAACAGAGAACATATGGTGGCACTTTGAAATGCTTAAGGACAGCATCTCATAAACTATGCCAGTCACCAAACCCACTGTAGCATGAGAAGGTGAGGCTGTCACAGAGAAACAGGGAGAAATCTCCAGTAGAGAACATAAAATCTGTGTGGATTTGGTCTTGCTTGAGGCTATCCACTACTAGAAACCATGTGGAGTACACACACACTCCTTTGTTTATCCTGTAAGTTAGCTAGATTACAATTTCTGTCATTTGCACAGAGTGCAATTTGTAGAAAGTGCCTATGCACTTCGAAAGAAAATCTTACTTCTGTCTCCTGAATGTTCATATATGTGCCAGAGTCCCATCAATGCATCCTATTCTGGTCATTGACAAGGTGATCAGGACTGCCAGGCAAATAAATTCTAAGTCAGAGATATAATTGTAACCTGCCTTAGAGACTCATTACAAAATATATTATAAAATTATCAAGATTTCTGGAAATTCTCCAGTAAAGAAATCTCTACTCACTTGAACACATGTCTACAGTCGCCTTTGAACATGCAGTCCTTTTTGAAATAAGTATCCTATAGCTTTAGAGCTACAGTTTGAGAAATGTTTACTGAAACTGCAACCAGATCCCTCAGGCCCAGCATCTGCAGCCAAGTTGTAAAGCATTCATTCCCCTTTGTTTCCCAATGTATCTGAAGTGTCACATACATGCAGAGGTCCACCAAACTCCCATGTGGACTGCAGTTTACCTTCCAGACTGAAACTAACTTACCTGCATTGAAATAAGAACGAAATCAATTAGGCTCCCAATTCCACAAAATCCTACGGTGCAAAACTTTAGCAAGCCTAGGAAAGCACAAAGGAAAATAATTCACAATACGAAAGTCTTGGAAATACTTATAATGTTTCTAGCTTTCTACCAAGCTATAGTCTATAAACTCTACAGTATGATAAAAAGGAGAATCTTTAAAAAAATCAAATCTTCACCTAAAAATACAAGAATGTTTTAAAGGAACCTCATATACAAAATAGTTTAGTAACTAATATAACAACAACAAAAATAGTAAATAAATAAAAAAAAAAACAATATACTCTACAAAACTTAAAAAAAGGTGTTTCCATCTACCCACATCTGGGCCTCTGTGTGTCTGTCCAACAAGCACAGGGGTTTCAGCAACACAAAAAATAGACCCTCAGCACCCCAGAGCTCACAGTACCTTTTAGTAGCAAAGCCTTTTACTGATCTGAACAGACAAAACACATTATGTGATACAAGTTTAACTGAACAGAGCAGAAAGTTCAAATCTATACTGTCAAGCCACAAAAACGTTCAAGAAAAATACTGATCTTGTAAAATTCCAAAATCCGGCCAGGCAATAGTGGCACATACCTTTGATCTCAGCACTCAGGAGGCAGAGGCAGCAGGATCTTCGTGAGGCTAGCCTGGGCTACAGAGTGAGTTCCAGGATAGCCAGGACTACACAGAAAAACCTTGTCTTGAAAAACAATACAAAACATCCAAAATTTGACTAGTAACTCAAATATCTCTAATTCCACCAAATAAATACATGTAAAATAAATAAAATAATAAAATAAAACAATGTTTTTAAAATAACTGTTCCACATACAGCTACACAGATAATCATCTCTCCAAACACAAAGCTGCAAGCACATAAATGTACAAGAGCTGGTTTCTTCTTAGGGCTGGACATAGGGCAGAATACTGCATGCATTGGGGTAGCACACGGCAGTAATTTAGTAACAGCCATTCGAATCCAAAAAGTAAAGAAACACTGCTTTTAGTTTTCTCCCAAGCACTTCCTATCTACCTTTTTACTACCTGTCTGCTGGAGGCTTGGTTATGACAGGGTTTCTGTGTATCTTGTTTACGTCTTCATCCTAAGTGCCTATGGCATTGCCTGGAACCTAGTAGATGGTTATTCCCTGTTAAATAAATGGATGAATCTCCTATCCCAGTTCCTAAGATCTCAGTCACTGTATCCAGTATTTCATAAAGTAATTCCTGCAGGTATGCTGTGGAAACATGCCTGCTGACATTAGCATTTTAATGAAAATTTGGAGATATCACACATGTACTGTGGCATGTGGGTGACACCACATACACGTATATACAGACACAAAATAAATAAATGTCAATGTCTAGAAAAATGTAATGCTAAAAGTGCTTTAAATAGTCAAGCGTGGTGGTGCAACCTTTAATCCCAACACTTGAGGAGGCACAGGTGGTTCAAGGTCAGCCTAGACTGCATAGTGAGTTCCAGGACAGCCAGGGCTCCATAGAGAAAC